TATTTAATTTAATAAAATTGTATTAAATTAAAATTTATCTACGAATTCGCTTCAATCGCATTATTTTCTAATTACAGATTTATTCATAGAGGAGAAGGTGGTACGTATATTATGGCCAGTGTATATATTGTGGCCTCAATATCTCCGCTATTATGCAGCGAATCATAATGATTATTTATGGAATTATTTGTTCAGTAGCTCGCCGTTATACCATGACGCTAATATACCCCAATATTCAATAGTCAGCACTTATTATAACACATTTTTACTTTCAAATATTTCAAAACGTTTCTGAGGTACATTTTAGCTTTTAATTACACCTACTCCTTATTTTTCTTAAATTTGAGCATATTACACAAATATATATACTTTTTAGTGTGTTGTTTACATTTATCTTACATCTATTTAACATTTTATTTGACTGTATATATTTGAGTTATGCAAATTTAAACAATAGCATAGCATTTTGCTAATGTGGCTCTCTATGGATATTGATTACTCACGGCGGCTTTTTTGAGATTTTCATATCAATAATTATTTGATAATCAATTGTAGCTCTACTGTTAATCTATAGTTTATATACGTGTACTGTTTTTAGTACAGAGATTTTTAGTACTGAGCATCTTATATGCAGAAATTATGTGAATGTATTGTATATATATTTATTCGTATACATTTTAAAATGTTTTACTTTTTTAATTAATTTTGCGACCAAATACTGTTTTCTAAACAAAACTAATTTTTTAAGGCTATTTTTATGATATGCCATTACCACCCATATTTTTCTTCGAGTCATTATGCAATGTCGCCACATTTTTATTAATAGTGTCCTAGGTAATAAATATTTCGTAATTTTGAGTCCAGAATCGATTCAACAACATTTTAATGAATGTAATTGTCAAGTTTTAAACTTAAATATTGATTATTAACTAAGTTATTGTGTCAAATATAACTGGGGTGCCATAATACCATCTTCTTTTCTATATTTTCTTCAAGAAATATATCGTATATAGATATAACGTAGCTGATCTTGACATTAAAATTCTGTAAAGGTAAAATTTCCTGAAAAATACAATAAATTAAAGAACAATATTAAACAAAGTATCTTTTAAAATCATAATGCGAATACACAACTATATAGGAAATGAAAGCCCAAAACGATTAAGTTGAATAGTGCTTAAGTAATGCGTATGCGGTGGGAATTTTATACGCGCATATTCAATTTTGCAAACTATGTACCGAATTTAATTTTCAGTCTTGAGACCCAATTCTAACAGAATTAGAATAATAATATTAGTGATCACTAATGTAATTTATTAGACAAGTTATAATTTAATAATATTGATGCTTATGCATAGGCATTTTAGAAAAATATTAATAATATAATCTGATACTAATAAGCATCTAAAACCTGTAAAATAATTTTATTGTAAAAAATATTAATATAAATTAAAGAATATGTGTCTTTATTTATTTGCTATTTTTAAGCTATATTTACAAAAAGTCTTTGTAACCGCTTCCCTAATAAAATTTATTATTAAATATTTAGAATTATATTTTATGTTTATTTAACAAATGAATGAAACGTAAACAAATGAATGAAACGTAAAATTCATTTAACATAGATGTAGTAATCCCCAATTATACAGTTGAATGTGAGGAGAATAATCGACTATACATATAATTATGGTCAATTCCTTACATTAAATTTAGTATCACTAATGAACAATTAAATGTGAAATAATTATTCGTTTACTGTGAAATAATTATGTATTCTATTTATTTCCGATCAATTTTACTATATACATTTATATACGAGTCAGAGATTTCAAACAAAATGTCCGGAGTTTTTGGCTTGTAAATTTTAGTTTTGAAAATTTCGATATGGCAGCCTTTTCCAGAGGATGTCTCTATATGTCTTTTAAACGTTCTAAGGACGTTCCAAGACATTTTTCGAATGAAATGTGCTGTATGGAGACTCTCTAAACAAATGATAAAAACTTTCGTATTTTCTATAATTTCAAACTGAATTTAATCCTATTTTTTGCATAATTCTCAATTGTTCAAACCGTTATATTCCATTTTTATCCCCCCCCCTATATAAATTAAAATATCGCTGAAATCAAAATAAAATATAAATAACATTAGTTTATACATTTTGGCAAAAGTATTTTGTGTTGAGAAGATTTATCTTGATATAATTTCTCGCGAAGTGTTTCCAATCGACGGAAATTAACCCGGTGAAAACATTATACAAGGTCATGGCCACAATCATCAATGGCTTCTGCATTTGAGGTGCTTCTTGCGAGACCTATAAATCAATCCCACCAGGCCGAGTCACTTTTACAGTTGTGAACTCTCTCTACAGTCTCTACTGATCATTTGTTTGTATCACTATGAAACTTCAAATAATCATTATATAACTCTTGCAGTTCTCGTCTTCTTTTGCAATATCAAAATGACAACCATAACGGAAAACAGGAACATTATGGTTCAAAAAAATCTGTTGGAATGGTGGAATGAAGAAACTGAATATATTTTCCAGAAAATTGAGAGATGGGCGGCCTTTGCACGTGGTTATAATCGTTTTCGATCGCAGAGGTAAGACAGAGAGAGAGAGAGAGAGAGAGAGAGAGAGAGAGAGAGAAGGGGGGAGGGAGAGAAAGACGTCCGATAATATTTACTGTTAAAAAAAATCTAAAAATTACGTGTAATTATAATAAACAACTAGATACGAATCTAATTTAATTATACGTATAAAAAAGTGATGTTTCTAATCTGAATAAAAATTAATCAGGTGGTTCAAGAATCAGCAAACGATGCAAGATAATTGGAACATATCTTCCAACGAAACTCCGATACAATTCCAGAGTCTCAAACAATCCAGATGGAAATTGTCTCCAGAGGAGATTAAGATAAACTGCTGCGGTACTTTTAATTATCAATCAAACAGTAAGCTGGACAGCAATTGCTTAGAAATGTACCAGTATGACCATAGTATCTACTTCAAGACTATCGGCGATATTAGAAGTGACAAAAAACACCAAAATCAGAATCAGGACGGTGCATCTGTTAGTAGCAAGGAGTAAATTGAGAGGGATGCAGCTAACTCGTTCATCGAACCGATTTCTAATAAATCATTCTCCAAAGAGATCAATAATGTTTCAGATACTGTTGCTGAACAGAGCAGAGCGATGCAAATGACCAATCATGCATCCATCTTGATCTGAATCTAATAGATTATCGAAGAAGAGATGAGTGGCTCTCTTGTTCCACTGAAGATAGGCATTTAACAAATTTAGTATTCTTCGTAAAATTTTCGAACTGCAATAATTTGATGATATGATATACAAGCCTTTTACTAACTTCATAAATCGCTTATTGTAACACCGAACAATTTTCTGTTAACATAATATTATTTTTACTACATGTTTATAAAGGTAAATTTTAAATTAATTATAATCATAAGTTAAAATTAATAGATGTTAGGCATAAATTAAATGCTAATCATTGCACAAATAAATTCTAATCCAAATATTGTAATACATTTAATAATTTGTGTTTAACAATAAACTTGAACGTTTGTTACGTATCTCTCTTACGTACATCTTTTTCCATTTATTTTAAATCATAAGACCTCGTATTCACTCCCCTCGCTTTTTAAAGATCGCACGTAGTCCGGTCCCATGTTAAAAGGATTAAGTTCGTTGACTCAAAATTCGGATCGACGGGCGACGTTCGCACTACTCATCGGAAACAGGTGTTATAACGTCTCTTTAGGACGTTGACCTATATTCCGGAGCGATAAAAAGTGCATCCGATTCTCGGATATTTGCCTCTGTGCTTAGGGTTACCGCAAACAAAATTCCGTAACCCCGGATCTACAATAGAGTTTTAAGTCTTAAGCCATAAGAAATGGGCGAATCACAGTCGATTATTCCCCTCGGATTTGACTGTAATTGGTCAGGAGTAACAGTAAGCCCGGATCTACAATAGGTGTTTTAAGCCTTAAGTTGTAAGAAATTGACCAATTACAGTCAAATCCGAGGGGAATAATCGACTGTGATTCGCCCATTTCTTATGGCTTAAGACTTAAAACTCTATTGTAGATCCGGGGTAAGACTGAGTTCCCATGGAGAAAGAAACAGCGGAACGGAATCAGAACGGAATATTGATAGAAAAGAGAAATCCTCATCCTTTCTCTTTTCTGTTAATATTCCGTTCCCCTGTTTCTTTCTCCATGAGGACGCAGCATAAGCATAACCTCGGATCTACAATTTTAAGCCTTGAGCCATAAGAAATTGACCAATTACAGTCGAATTCGAGAAGAATCATCGAATAATCGACTATGATTCATCCATTTCTTATGATTTTGTAGATCCGGATTAATGCGTAAACTTAAACTGATGAGCCAATCAGGATATTGTTTTAGTCTAAAGTTTAGATTTACGTCATCTGATGGAAATAAAAATAGTAGTAAACTTATCCATAAGGCAAACTTCAACCGATTGAAATTACAGATAAGTTTACTGTTATTTCTATTTCCGTCAGGCTCTCGTAGTTGCACTAAAAATTCATTTTTACATAAAAATGAAAATAAGAGATATAACCTCCATTGATTATATCTCCTCCTTGATCTTGACAAATGCTATCCAGGACATGATCCTGAACAATATTCAAGAGGTTTTAGCCGTCGATCGAACACCTTGCGTAATGTTAATACCGGCGATACTATAACTTTCAAGTCTTATAACTCGAAAAGTACTTAATGAAAAATAACTTTATTACAGTGTTTTGAAAAGCTCTTGACACCAGCTATTAGATTCTGGCATCCAAAAAATGGTATTTCCTTTTAAAAAATCGATTTGACCTTGACTTGACTTTGGCGACGCCACCCAAGGTCAAACTGATAAGATCAATAAATAGATCTTTTTGAACCCTACAACTTTTGTCTAAAACACTTTTCTATAAAACTTATATTTTCTGAGATATTCAGGTGTCCTAATCTTTTTGGGACACCCTGTATATGCGGTATCCGCGGTACACTTGTTCCCGTTACATATATATAGGATAGTTCAGATAAGGGGAGTTCCCTCTATTGTTATATCATTCTCGTGGGGTAGCGCGCATGCACCGGTTGAAACTGTTGAGGGAGGGGCAGGAGCCACGCACGCAACACGTATTCGCAAATCTTCTCGTAAATCGATTGCACGAACTCCACTCGTTGCCTAGGTGAGACTTAGGTGGTGCGTAATAACCCATATCCCGACTATATCGAAAGGGTTTTGTCGCAAGCAAATAAACGAAAGGCAAACATAGTATGAGCAAAGCACGACTGGAAACCGTGGCCACGATGACCTGTATGAAGACCCTGCTAATGCTCTTCAATTTCATCTTCTGGGTAAGCAGAAAGCTCCAAAACTCCAACACATTGCGTCATGATTATGGACTATTCTTATCACGTATCCTGGTCCTACCCAACTGTTGCACAATCGATTAGTGTTATAATACCGGGTACTAATTGAATCTGTTTATTTCACGAGGGACAGGAGAATATACATAATAATGATTTATTGTCAATGTCTAAGCGTCTACTAGAAATAGAGCAACCGGAGCAACTGGGGAATAAATACAAAGCCATAAATGTGCGGCGATTGATGGATATGACCTTGAATATTATGTCCGTCCAGATAATGTGAAAAGCTCTTAAATATATAAATCTCATTAATATTATTATGATACAAAATTTGAGAATATTTATTAATCCTACAAAATTTAAGAATATGCAGTTTTAAATTGGAACACGTCAACACACATAGTAATATATATATATATATAT